AACTTAAGATTTTGCAGACAAATCCCACTCCAAACAGCGTATAAACCATACACTCATTATATTCGTTCCTGGTATAATTTTTGTTAGTTGTGATTTAAAAAACTCTTCAGATTTTTTGTGCTCTGTTATTTTTATATGATTTTTAATACTTTCTAATCGATATTTTGTTATACCTATTGCGAGTATTGTCTTTCTATTTCTTTTTCTACATAATATACAAAATAATACAATTTTATTTTCAATAACTTCTTGTTTTAACCATAAATATATCTTAAACAAATTTTGATCTAGGTCTTTGCGAGTATGAGATCTTTTAACAGATACTTGTTCTGTATTGAATACTTGTTCTGTATCTGATGCTTGTTCTATATTTGATGCCTGTTTTGTATCTGATACTTGTTCTGTATCTAATACTTGTTCCATATTTAAACTAGAAGATAATTCTTCTTGATCTTTACTTTTTTCTTGTAATAAATTTTTTTTTTTTTTTTATTTGTTAATTCTGTAGAAGAAAAATATTATTTTATACTATCTTTAGTTTTTTTAGAATTAAATATTGCCAATTAAAAGAATAGTTGTTCAAGTTGATGAAAGGTCAACAGATTGAAAAGATGACAAGACAAGAATATATCAGAAGTAATCCTGCCAGGTTGCGCAAGTAGTTGAAACCAGTATCAGTAGTCAATTAACTGAATCGGGCATATAATTAATGTTGCATAAACAAGCACATGCGTTCAAGATAAGTACAATTTAATTAGTTTTCTATTTTAGAGCAATTAGATAATTAAACAAAATTCCCATTGATAGATCAAAGATAAGAACAGCCGTTAAGACAAGCACAAATAATACCTTTTTAGACACAAAGAAGGAAATTTGCATCTGAATCCTCCTACTTTGTGCTGTGTAGAAGACCACAAGCTAATGCTATACAGCACAAATTTACTAATGACAATGTTATCTGGTGTAAACATAGGCTATATTTCTGTGAGCTTATCCTTTCGCAGTTTATACATCAATTGCACTAATGATGTTGCATATTCAGAAAATTACTTAATAAAGTTTAATATCTGCTGATGATGTTAGCCAGATTCTTCTCAATTAATAATATATCTGTATGTGCAATGCTTTTCGATATAAAAAAAAATTCATAAGAGTTTGTGATTGCAAACCAATCAAATCAACAAAATAAGAATAATTTATCAGCGAAGCTTTACTTTTAATTATATATTAATAATTTTATTCTATTGTTCTGTCATTACTATTTCTATGTACTAGAAACGAATTACAATCTTTAGCCCATATTATCATTATGTTAAACAATATTGCTTACAAGTATTTAATCTAAATCTATCTATACTGACTTACTTGCATTATTATTAAACTAAATAGAAAATATATAAAAATTCCATTTGTCATTAATTTACGCTCTATCCGTTACACTACAATATTTTCCAAAACAATACTACTAGACAATACAGCCATACTTCTAAATATACCATTCACAACTCTCTACAAACCTAAACCATAGAGAGGTCTCTGTAAAATACCAAAACTCTTTATATAGCTAAGACAAAAATCGTCTTTATAATACAACGCAGAAACTAATTACTTCAAAAAGATAATTATTGTATTGATATTTAGCATAAAAACTGTAATCCATTAGTCAAAAACTCATATATTGCAACTTATAGTCATAGAGCCTGAATACATGGTCCTTGCACTGCTACGCAGCCACGAAGCCTAAATCTCCAAGGTCCTTGTACTGCTGCTGCAGCCTCAGAGCCTAATTACTTACACAAAGCCTGCAACTATCACCCTTTTAAACCTAGGTCCTTGCACTACTACTGCAGCTTCAGAGCCTATTCATCACACAAACACAAAGCCTCCTGCACTGCTACCATAGCCACAGAGCTTAATACACAATAATGGCAGATAGTCTGATTCTATTAGAGTTGTAGGGTTTTCGGTATAGTATACGGAAGTAGGTGCAGGCTTCTGTTGAGTAAGGTTAATGCTAAGTTGAGCTATCTGATCAGTTAGTTGTTTGATAGCTTGGTCTGTGTCTGTAATAGGTGAGGATATAAGTCAGTTATTTTCTCAATTACGAGCAGCATCGATGGTAGTATTCAAGTTGGCAGGTCCTCCAGTTTGAACTCCAATAGCATATTCGGGTCGAAGTCTTTGAATAAAAAGTTGAAGAATGAAATCAGCGGGAAAAGCATTAGTAGGGTCTACACAGGTTTGTAGCTTCTTGAACCAGGTTACATAAGCATCGACTGAGTCTGTTTTTTGCTTGATGTCGAAGAATTGTTTTTGCCACTTGATCTTTTGGTTGGTAGAGCTGAACTTAGTTTTGAAGAGATGGTAGAAGCTTCGATCTACAGCATGGTCATTTTTAAAAGCATTGGGAGTAGGAGCTAAACTTTAAAACTATCCTACAGCAATTTCTTTCATATAGGCTGGGGCAAGAGCAAGTTGTTGAGCAGCACTCCAGTTATTAGCAATAGTAGCTCGTTCAAATTATTCTAACTATTCTATGGGGTCTTGTTTTCCATCGCCAGTAAAGAAATTAATTTTGAGGAGGAACTTTTCACCGCCTGGCACAAGAGCATTGGCCAGATTAGTCATAGCTTGAGCAGCATTGTTGAGAGCAGCATCAACCATGTTTACGAGTGGTACTATGAGTGGAGGTGTTACAGGTGATATGGTAAATTAACTTCAGGTTGTTCTGAAGGGGGTAACAAGTTTTCTTTAAGTTGTTCTAGTGGTGATAGATTCGCTTCAGGTAGAGGTAAGTTATTGTTGAGTTGTTCTTGGTAGTTTTCTGATAATTCAAAGGTTTCAGTTAGAGTAAAGATTTCTTAGACAGTTCTATCAGAGTCAGAATTATTTTTTTGATCTGAATTGTCTGGAGGTAGAGCCTCTTCTCTTTCTAAGAGATGTTCTTCTATTCGTGCTTCTGGAAGAGGGACAAGTTCTACTTCAATAAATTGTCTTTAAGGTACTTCAAATGTGTTTTGAGAAGAATGTTGGAGAGATTAATAGTGAGGGTTATCTGTTTCATCTTGGTAGGAGGGTAAACTAGGAGGAGATAGGGTCCTTAGAATAACTCGTTGGTCTCGGTAACTAAACTATAATCTTCATCTGGTTGATGTTGTATGGAGGGTCCTAGGTTTCCAAAGTATCTTTCGTATTATCCTGGTTCTTTATATCCAAAACTATAAGCTAAGTCAATATAGTGGTCAAAGACGTTCTGATATTCGAAGTTGATAGTAGGTAAGGTAGTGAGGTGTGTATATCTGATAAGTAATGCAAGAGCAATTTCTCTTGGGTTTCCAATATCTTGATTGTATCAGCAACTAAAAATAATATCTCGAATGGAGATGCAAATAGAGGGTCAGTCTCAGGTTACAGTTAGATATACAAAATTTGCAGTAGTTTGGGAGGTATAAGAATAAGCAGAATAGGTGTTGGAGTACCAATTCCAAAATCTTCCAAAATTACTTCGATAGAAAGTACAAAGACTAGTTCTTGGTGGTGGGAAGCAAGCTTGACAAGAGAGATCTGGGTTTAAAGCTTGTAAAGTTGTATAAGGAAGAGTAGGGTTTTGGATATGTTTGTGTTCGTGGTTTTTAATATATTTATTATGGAGTTGAGTAACTTTATCAGTTATAGAGTAAAATCCAAAGCCTATAGTCTGGCTAAAATAGAAAAGATAATAATAATAATGTTTCTTGGGGTTGGTCCTTATGTCTACACTTTGGCTCGTGGTGAATCCTTCAATTGTTTCTCAAGGTTAGATTCTTATACCTACACTTTGGCTCATAGGAAATCCATCAATATCCTAGGATGATATCATCTAGGCACCAACTAAAATAAACCAAGATGGGGGTTGTCGTCTACAATACTCAAATTTAATCCGGGATAACTATCCTCTAATAAACAGCTATTAATTAAGAGGGGCCAGAATAATGTCATCCGGTAATGGTTTTAAAATATTTTCCGCCAAGAGACACCAAATGTTACAGTATCGTGGCCTTCTTAACAACAATACTATAACAATGACATAGCTACAGAGATCTTTCACAAGTTTATAGTAGTGTCTAACAGATAAGTATAATTTTTGCTTTTTGAAAAAACTATACCCTTCTGTCTGTAGCAGTTCAGGCAGACAATAGTTTATAGATAAAATATATGTTTATTAAAGATAAAT